TGGCAAGATACAGATGCCATCAGCTTGAGCCTAAGCTACAGCTTCGCACTAGCCTTTCCGGTATTAAAAGTTGACTTAGCTCCTTGTCAACTTGACTAAGAGATAAGATGGGCCAGCTCAGGCAATTCATGCGGTAACAGTGATAGCACCTTATCAAATTTGCGACGAACATAGAGGCATAAAATAAGCAAGATCAGCATCCGCTGACGGCGCGGTCTACCCTCTAGACTCCAGCAGCGTGACACTCTCGGAGCGTTGCATGCACACACGTTTTCTTTCGAAGAGACTAATGCCAAGAAATACTGCCCCATGATTGTATGTATTAGAGAAGTGGACTTCAACTTTGAAGATTTCCAATCCTGTAATCGCAAGGCATGGGTAGATGTAGATCTTTCATCCAAGGCCCACCGTGATGCTGAGCTGTTCCTATGAGAACAATCACCGAATGTCCGACCCCGTGTGGTGTAAATGGGCGACTCATCGAATTCGTAAAGACCATCGAATTCTACCTTCTGAATGAGGGATATTGTCAGATGAATATTTTGACGATAACATAACGCGTGGCTTTGAGCGTGGGAGTAGGAAAAAGTATAGATAAGTTCATCGGTAAGTAAAGGAGCCGCAACGCGCCAAGAGAGTTTGTCCGTCGTGATTAAGCTAATCCACTTTCAGAAGGCGGTGAAAATCGATTGCAATGTGATTTCATTTTCCAACTTTTGCGTCTTCCTGCCCCCAATATATCCCACATCACCATGTATGAATCCACAATCGTCCCTCTAGATTCTCAATCCCTGCTGCCCCTGAAAGTGGATGTCCACGAGTTTCCATGGTATCAATCCCGGCATCTTCGAATCTCGATGCTGTCCTGGCATATGTGGCTTTAGAATAAGCATACATGCTGAAACTCGACATGAATAGATCTCACGCATGAAAATTAAAAAAGAAGCACTGGATCGACCGCTACCATAGATTAAAAATATCCACGAAGGCGAATCTCAGATTCCAAGGCGACCAGCTCATTTCAATGTGTTGTACTGGTACTTGTGCTGCTAGAAAGTATGCAACTCAGAAGCTAGATGCACATACCACAAGATGGTAAACCACAAAAGGACTAACATGGTTTTCTTAGCGGTGGAGTCGTATACTTTCTGGCAGCATGAGTAAAGGGGAAGAGGATATACATTGAAAGATGACATAAAGCCGAAGTTTCTGCTGCTGAAGATCTTTGCGAATCTGGAGAAGCAAGTCAATACCGTCGCAGCGCAAACCAAAGCAATAAAACTCCAGAAAACCAGACTAGTTCGAAAATAAAGAAAAACTTCATGCGTTGTGGAGCTTTTGAGCTGAATCAGCTGACTACTGACTTGGAACGTGTACCCAAGTGCTGGATAGGACGTGCTTCTGGGATCTGCATGCAGGCCTTGGCCACTCAGAGGATAAACAGCGGACTTGGTGCTTGCCGTCATTTTTAATATACTAAATTCAAGACTAATTGTGATCCATTGATCAGCCCGAATGCTCAAGAAACGTACTGGTAGTTCCATGTACTAGTTTGTTCACTTTGGGAGCTCCCTGCAGAATGAACGTCTCGATCTAGACAAGCTGATTGGTCTTATCAACAGCCCTGTTATCAAGATGAAAAGTGCGTAGAGTTCTTGCATTATTTCAAAGAATCATTACAGGTCGGCATCCTCTTCTATCCTGATTCTTCGTTTTTCATTCTCCATCCTTTGATCAGGATGCGTTATCTTACTCTTTGCTTCGTCGGTTTCGCCCTGAGTCTAATAACAAACGTCGGAGCAGATTCAACTTCAAATTGCTCTTGTGGTTATTATGATCCGGCGACAGAGAACTTATTTACCGACTTCTTGATTGTTTACTTCAACGAAACGACCGCATTCCCGTCTGAGGTATTCCAGAATCAAGAATATGAAAACAAGTACGAGAAGAGCTGGAATGCACAGTACCGTTCAGGTGCCGATCCGTCCAATGTCCAGATCACAAACTCGACATCTACTGGCATCAGAAACTCGTCATCGTTGGAATTTACAATCAACCCACCAACCTCTGAACATCTCGTCAAAGGTGGCGCGATCAGAACTTTAAGATCTGACATTCAATATGGTTCTTTCAGATCGACCATTCGTCCAGCTCAAGCTTGGACTGGAGGTACCGGCATGTCAATGCTTCTTAAGTACAACGAGACACAAAATATCCAGATCAACAGTTTGAACGCTCAAAAGCCTACAGATGCGTGGATCAATACTTTGCTTGCAGACGAGTTTCCAAATCGTGTATACGGGCTCAATTTCAGTACATTGACCAACAATGCCACCTACAGTCCAGAAATTAATCCTTGGGACTTCACTGAAGTTCGCATGGATTGGACCAAAGATACTGTGCAATTCTATATCGGGAATGTTCTAGCTCGCTCAGTATCAACCAAAAATATAAGCAGCAAAAGGTTTCCGATCACTCCATCGCCTCTATTGTTCAAGCTTTGGTCGAATGGTGATTCATATTTCACGGCTGGACCGCCCACGAGAAACACCACAGCCAACCTCGGATGGACCCGATCATTTTTCAACTCGTCAATTATGACAAAGGAGCAGCACGAAGAATTTGATACGAGATGCGCGGTCACAGATGCATGCTTGATGGACGATACTTCATTACGTGGTTACACTGCATTCGGGGTGGACTCTATCACAAGATGGAAGGCCACACACCATGAGAGTGGGGTCCGAACTTTTGCTTACATTTGCCTTTCCTGTTCTGTTGCTCTGACTGTGCTGTTACTTTGCAACGTCACTTTTCAGAGATGGCCGACGAAGGACTCCAAGACTCCCAAGGAACCAAAAGTACATAGTTGTTACCGTCTTCCACCCCAAATTTCCAACTCCAAATCTCTCTCGTCATCGGATACGACTCCAACAATGTCCACGAGAGCTTCTTCTATGGATCTGAAAAATCCGAAAGATGATCTCGAAATAACGAGGGCTGGCTTCACGCCTGGATCTTCAACACTCACCCTCAAAGATATGGTCAATCAAGAAACCACACGTGTGTCGAACAATAGTCCATTCGCGGCATCTCGGCAGCATTCTACCTCAAACATGAGTGGGTTTACTTTAAACGATCCTATATCGCCGTCAACTTCACAGAATAGACTCTACAGTTTCAACGATACCCCCAAAGATTCGATGGCTATAACGCCCCAAAGTTCGTTGTTCTTCGGCAAAGACGGCCGACCAAATTTAGACGGTGATACTCCGCATAATTCGTTCATCTATAGTGCAAATCCAGCAGAAACATCAGAAAAGAAGGACTGTTTGATGCCAGATATCACCAAAGGTAATGAAACTGAGAATTCTAGACCAGCACCCCCCAATCATACTGCTTCAGAAGTTCCAGCTCCAATTGCTTTCCCAGCTGCACCCATCAACGCTCGGACGGCACCCACCAAGCGAATTGATTATTTGGCAGGGCTTATATCGATCGCAACCCTTTTGGTGACTCTGATTCATTTTATATTCACATTTTCGCCAGCAATGGGTATGGTCGGTGCCCTTGAGCACTATAGCTATGAGATCATGATTCGAAAGACCATTGGATCATATCTCCTCAATCAAATTCTTCTTGGACTTTTCTTCATTACATCCACTCGCTTCCTTATCAGTCGTTATCTACGTACCGGTGATCTTGGAAGCATAGCCGAGAAGACGACGGGAAGAACGTTCCGTGTCATGATTCCGATCGCGGCGTGTGCTATGCTTGAGTACTTTTTGATAGATGTGGGAGCTCTCACGTATCTAGAATACCTCCCCAGTATCAGTTGGACAACATGGCCCTATGCTGTGGCATATACAGATTTCGCTCATTACATCTCTGAAATCCTTGAGCTGGTGTACTTGCTTCCTAATGCAGCGCCACTGATCACCTACAACTACTGCACGGGTGTTTTGTGGACCATCCCGGTTCAAATTGAAGGTTCTTGGATCACACTTTTGGGATGCATCGTGGTTAGAGAGATCAAAACACCTTGGAAACGTATGTGCTACTATGTATTCTGTATTATCAACCATTGGTATGCTCAAAGTTGGGGCACATTTTTCTGGTTTGGAGTCCTTTACACCGATCTAGACGTCACCTTCAAGTACAAAAAGTGGTTCAAAGACCACGCTTTTGTCCTCTGGACCGGAATCGTTGTTGGTTTCATGCTAGCCATTGCCGCACTATCAAACGATTTAATCACTGCATGGACAGGTTTCTCCTTACCTATCGTAGAACGAGGTATTCATCCGGATCCCGAGAGCGGTCTTCCAATCGCCCAAACAGCGAACGCGGGATATCCGGAATATTTCAACCCTCGTTTCAATGGAATAATATTTGCCGTCGGTCTTCAATTCGTCATCGAGAATTGTTACTTCGTTCAATGTTTCTTGTCCATGAAACTTTGGTTGATGCTCTTCCCCCATATCTTCACCATCTACCTTATCCATGGTTTGATTTGGTGGTCGCTAGGTAGCACAGTATGTGTACACTTGGCTGCTAATACCTCCCTTCCATATTGGTCTGTTGCCTTGATTACGGCGATAGTTTGCTACGGAACTTTGTTTGCATCGTTACCCGTTCTTACACCCGTGGTGGAGACCTTGGGAAGGAATGTTACTGGTAATATTTGGAGAATGGCGCACATTAAGCCGGCTCCCAGAAGAAAGACCTTATTCCCTTTTGCGGACAGGCTTTTCTTAGACTATGAAGAAAAGACAGGAGAGATTGTGGATGAACAAAAGGATGTGGAAAAGAAGGCAGGAATAAATGTACATGAGGAGGAATTGTGAATGACGTTTTGAATTTTGAGTTTATGAATATACAATGTATGATATTGAACGCGATACCTTTAATTTAGTTATGATTTGAAATATTGAAAGAATTATAGAAGACAAAAGTGAAAGAGATAAGCTGCTCGGTGAACTCAAGAATGAAATATCCAAACATCATGTCTGCTTCCTAATCTCTATAACAACTTTCTTAGCCGACACGCCATTCCTAAGAAGATCAATCCCATCCTGCACTCTTCCCAATCCGCCCTCAAGAACTTCCGGGTCTGGCTTGGCCAAGTACTTTCCCTTGGCCAATGCCTCCGGTACGTATTTCCGCCATACTGCATCCCCGATATCGAAATCTACAAGTCCTACATCTAAACCATTTACTAAAGGATGAGGTCAGTTCAAGAAGATCTAGAAATGTAAAAGATAAAACATACCCATAACAGGCTCAACATTATACTCATTTGGTACAGGTGGTAACACAGCAGCAAACTTGCTGGCACCAATTTTATGAGCGATTTCAGCACAAGCGTGTTGCGTGTTAGTTTGAGCGATGCAGTCGAATACGGCATCGCCTGTTTGAAGAATCGCCAGGATGTCTTGTATAACTGTGGGTGATTTATAGTCAAAAGCATGGGTTGCGCCAATACTTTTCACGAAGTCGTGGTTTTGGATGCTGGCAGTGGTAACAACAGTGTAACCTGCTGCTTTTGCCAATCTTCAAAATTTGGTATCAGTTACTCAATAGCACAATAAAAATAGATCCGCTTACTGGATTGCCGAGGCACCACAACTTGAACTTCCACCCCAGATCAAAATCGTCTTTCCCACCGGCTTTGGATCCAGCACCGGAAGCGGCATTCCTAAGATTTTGAAAAGTTCTGCAGCAGCTGTGGAAGTAGCAAGAAGAAGGACTGCTGCACTTGCGAGTGGAATGTCATCCGGAACCACAGAAACGAGAATCTCGCTGCAGGTAGCATAGCTTTGGAACGCAGTGTTTTGACAATTCGTGTGAGAATTCTATCGCATTGACCTATCACCCGTTGTCCAATCTTGAAACGGTCTACGCCAGATCCAAGTTGGACAATGGTGCCAGAGACGTCGGCACCGAAGATCCAGGGATAGGGCATGCTGAAATAGGCGATGTCTTGCATCTATTAAGGGAACGAATTAATGTTAATTGGACGGAAGAGATGGGAATCAATAGATCAACAGACCTTCCAGTCAGTCGGGTTGACAGCTGCGTAGGCTACTTCAATGACTACTTCATTATCTCTGGGGCTAGGTGTTGGTCCTGGTCCTACTTTTATTTGGCCTTTCTCTGTGGGGATCCATGCTGCCTCATTGTTCGTAATTAGAGACATTTCGAAATAGTGTGTGTTCAAGAGTTGAGTGTTTTTGTTTATGATATGTTACATTAATAAAGAATTACTGACCGATATATATAATCTCATAACAGGGGGGAAACTCTTGTGGTATTGTCTTGAAAAGCATTCACGGACATCCGTCGTAGGATCGTCATGTTAAAGAAAAGCATCACGAGTATGACATCAAATTAACAAGATTAGCACAGGATAGTAGTAATTTAACAAAACAATTCATTTGCAGATTCTAACCGAAACTCGTGATAGGGAGTAGAAAAGACGTGTAGAATAGATAGATTTATTGGTATTAAGTGTAGTGCATATTCTCTTAAAAGCTATGTACAATCCAGTTGACTATATTAATCAAGATGATTACATAATACGCCTAATGCGTTTAACCTGCTTTCTAGACCAATCCTACAAGATATACACCTTTGCATATATACTCTAGTTAAACTAAAATAAGTCCTATTTCTGTATTCCTTTTATATATACTATAATGGCTATATAGTATACTTAGTCCTCTTGTTCTGTTGATCAATCAACAATCATTATAGGAATCTATCTATATGCTAGCTTATTATTATGTTTAAATTAAATGGATAGTAGAATTCGCTGAATTGGTAGTTAGAGTATTTGTAGTTTACTATTTTGGTGTAACTTTGCTTATTTTAAGCAAAGTTAGAGTGTAGATTCTATCTTTTTCTAAGAGAGGAAAAGAGAAAAAACCAATTCTATAAGACAGGTGATATAGTTTGTTATACATCAATTCCTTTTTGTAGATTAGATGGAAGAGTGGATTTATAAATACTAGCTTGTAGATTCTGATATTCCGGTATATCGTTCTTGAATGGTATGTGTAGATATTCGATTCGAGGCTTGAAAGACTTTAAATGGTTGATATAAAACGATTTGCGAATAGCTTTTCTATTGATTTGTTACAATTTATAGGATTTCTAATAATCTCTTACAAAACCGATGATGATAAAGGGATCACAATAGGAAAAGTGTAGTTTCTTTTTAGCTGAGGTGTTGTTATATAATATTATTATATTTTCTGATTGATATATAAAATTACCTTATATACCTATATTGTATTTTTTCTTATTAACAGCTTTCTTTCAGTTAGATTATTCTAAAGCTTTCTATCTGATTAGCTCCCGGTTGTGTATGAATTTGAAAACTTTAGTATAATATATTTCAGAAAGGAACTCCTTATTAATATTCTTAATAATAAGAAGGTAATTCTATATTTCCTTTTATTTATAAAAAGAATATTCGATTTCTAAAGAATCAACTAATTAAAAGCCAAATATAATTTTGTAAAGGGAATGATCTAAATGAAATATCTTTTGTATATTGAAAAAATTAATATTAACTTGAATCTCAAATAATCAATTAGTAATATTAGATTCGATCTTTTTAAGTATTCTTTGAAATAAATCGTTTCCTTTTTCGGCTATTCCGGACAACTTTTTCGCTCCGACAGCTATAGAAATAAGGAGTATACCGGATTTTTTAGAAAAACTATATAGAATCTTGTTTTCAAAATATATATCGGGATTGTATATTCCTCTAATAAGGATTCCAATTGTATTAAAAAGCCAGTCTAAACATCTAATAGTCTTTACTCCTGTAATACCAATTATCGGGAATGCTCAAATATAATGAAAGAAATAATCGATAATTAGTAAAATATAAATGAAATTGAGATATCCTTCTTTATCGAATATACTATTGTTATAATCTATATTTTCAATAATAAGTTCTATATTTATTAGTTTCTATACTACAAGCCAAGTTATATTTAGAATCTGAGCTTTGTTGACTGATATAAATAGGAATGGTTCTATAAAATCAAATTCGATAAGAATAAGTGAATAATCAATCTTAAAAGATATTAAGTGAAAAATACATTATCGAATATTATGCTTGGCGTACTTCAAACAATCTAAAATGTACTGCTTGATATCTGAAACTAGATAAGGTTAATAATAGTTTCTAAGCTTTTTAATAATCAATTCTATAGCGAAGTGTTCTTCTTGATTATATATATATAATAGGATATCAGATACCTTATATCTTTATATACAATATTTATCAACTTTATAGAATATATAAAAAAGTTTGCTTTCGAATAAGAAAAAATCCTTAGTATAATATAGAAAAAACACTTTTTCAAAAATAGAAATCCTATCAGGAAATATATTAATAAAAACATAATTAAATATATTGTAATACCACGAATCGTCCTCGTACTTGCTTGAAACTGGTTTAAAAGAAATATTATTAGTAACAATCATAAGTTAATCTAATATTGCAATATCCAGATTATCTCCGAAAGATTGTAGTATATTGTAGTCTACAATGACTTGAAGTCGTTCGGTTTCACACAAGCAAAGGAGTTCTTTGTAATCACCAATTCCATCTTTCCAAATCTATTTAGGGTTTTCGTTGTTCTCCTGGAATGAGCTGAGGGAGTCTAAAAGTGAATCCAACTTGTAATTCGGATTGGGGAAAATAGTATGGGAAAGGGTATCTGCAATCTTGTTATGAGATCCCTCAATATATTCAATAGTAATATCCAGAGCAGATAGCTCTATAGCCCAGCAGACATAGATTTCACGAGTTTTGGCCTTAGAGAATAAGAATCTAGTTAATAGTATATGATCAGTGAAAATCTTGTAAGATCTTGGGCAATGGAAGTAATAGTAATACTTGTGTATGAACTCGATAATTACTAAAAGCTTATATTTATAAATATCATAGTTTCTTTGAGTCTTAATAAAAAGAAAGAAGTTATATAAGATAGGGTATACAATCAAAGATTCTGAAATAACTCCTGAGAAGTGTTGTTTCTATACAATATAGCAATCTGATGTAAAAGTACTAGAATCTGTATATATCTTAACGGGAAGGGAGTAGTCGATACTATATGATTCGACTATTTCAGAACATTTGGCTTATAGAAACTTAAAGGCAAGCTGCTTATACAATCCCTATTGCCATTCAATATTACCAATAAAACAAAAGAAAGAATGAGATATCTCAGCAAAATTCTTAATATTCTGATAGATTATTTGAATAATAGCTAAAAAACTGTGAATTTCAATAGGATTCCTTAAAGTAGAAAAGTCCTTAATCTTAATAGCTTAGGCTGGCTTGATAATTATTATACTGCCTGCTTAATGGAGTATACCTAAAGCTTCCATTTCACTTACAAATATATATAATTTCTTAAAAGAAAAACGTAGTTGAATAAAAGCTAGTTTTAAGAAAAAGTAGTTTGTAAGGATATCATAAACGTCTTCGGCTGTCTTATATCCAGAAAATATATCATCTATATAGAACTTGACTAAAGCTAAATTATCTGAAAAGTTAGATTCAAGAATAGAAGGATATTCGCTAATATGAAGAATGCTATCCTTTAAATAATAGTGTTTTTTTGAAAAGCAGAAAACATAACCATAAACAGTATATAAAAGCTTGAATATTAAAAAACATGCAGTTTGAGTACCTTGTGGAATGCGGGTAGATTGTATTTGAGCGGAATCTCCTATAGAGAAGGCGAAAATATATCTATCCATGAGATGGAGAGATATTATCCAATATATATATTTAAGATCAAGTTGTATAAAAACTGTATAACTGGGGTGAGATAAATATTCATGAACTTCTTGAGCTAGTATGCAGTAACTGCCAGGTATTTCTTTTTTCATTTGCGAATAGTCGAAAACGACTCATCGTTCCGGATCAGGTTTGTGAGGAGATAGTATAGGATATACAATGCTAGGTTTCTTGATAATAAAAGGTATTACAGACTAATCGGATAACTTGCCATTAACTATTATAGTATATTCATATATAAAATATCTATAGTCATTTTAAATGATTTTATTTAATCAGTATATCTGTTAAGAATTATATCAAGATCGAAACTTGCACTTGTATAGAAATATGCCCTCCTTTAAATATATCTGATAAGTAAAAAGAGTAATTAGGGGAATATAATATAATTTAATTACATTCAAATCCCTATAAGTGTATAAAAAATACATAACACATTATCATAGCTTTTCTGTAGCTAAAAGGCTAATATACACATTACTGATATTAAATTATTCTTATATCAATTCAATTAAATCCGTAAATAATGATTAAGGAATAGATCGTTTTTCAATAGAATATACATAGTCGGATGGAATAGGGTGTTTTGATTCAATTTGAGAGAAAAGTACAAGAAACTGATTTCCGGGAAGAGACTTCAATTTGAACCGAGGAGCTGAAGATTTATATGAAAAATTCATAGATTTAAGTATATTAATAGGAATATCGGATCTGTATATCTGTATAATATTTTTTAAAGAATATAATATCCTAGCTCTTATATACAAAGAGGGTTCGGGTGATCGGGAGATAATCTTTTTCTGTAGTTTAAAGTTATACTTGGGATTTAAAAGTTTAAAGAACTAGATGAAGTTAGGGATTCTGTAGAATCGGATTCAGTTTCAAAAATCTCTTCAACAGTTTCGGTATTGTTATAGTCGGATAAGGAAATCTTTCCCTCAGAATATATTGTATCTATATCGAAATAGCTTAATTTCAATAATTCATTCTTTATAGAAATCTCAGCTTTTTGTTTAACAATCTGATATTTAGGGTTTGCCAGGTAAAGAATTAGTTAATGAGAAAGTGATTACACTAATTATAGAGTTTGAATAAGAATATGAGATTCCGAAAAATCTTTATTACTAATGGAAATAGTGTAATTGAAAACGTTAATATGGCCTTTAACAATATAAAGTTATAATAAATCGAGAAGTAGGTTCTTTTTATTCTTATTAGGGTGATTCTCATTATTAGATTGAATAAAAGTATATATAATACATTGAATATCTTTAACCGTAAAGCTAAAAGTAGTATATTATTTCAGTCCAGTATTCCCGCCGTCGGCTGTTCCCATGGAAATGATGTTTTTCGAGGTAATCTGATATTGTGAT